CAGCTGACAATAAGTTAACAACGACAATGCCCCAATCAGCCAGCTGGGGAGATGGTGCCACAGATGAATGGACATATCCGTGCTGGCAAAAAGCCAATCAGTTAATCAACAGCGCCCCCCCCCCCCCGCCTTCCAAATCAAAGAGATTTCAGAACTGAAATCCGTTCCTGCGGATGGCGCAAAATGGAAACTGGGGAGACCTGCACCCCTTTCCTCCCCGGCTTGCATTTTCATCTGCAGGGTGTTCAGTTATTTCTCGGGGAATACGATGTGGTGGTCTGTGGGCATTCTCCCTGTCTCAGACGCGAAGGCTGTTGGGTGGGTTGGGATTCTGCCCCTTCTCCCCTCTGGGCATGTGTGTGTGTGTGTGTGTGTGTGTGTGCGTTAGCGGTGCGTGTTGCAGAAATGTGAATAATTAATCCCCCCTCGTTTTGCTTCCTGTCTTCTTTCTGTACTTGTAATGCTAACTGGCGTAAGCCTGAATCATTCATGGCCTGCATTCCCGCGTGGCTGCAGGGTGAACGCCCCGGGAATTTGGCCCTGTGGGCAAGTGTCAGAAGCCAGAACCTGCTGTCGGAAGAGGAGGCCGGGTGGAAAAGCACACGCTCCCCGGGGAGGTGGTAAGCTCGGAGCGGAAATGTTTTTGCAGCCCAGTTTCTGCGCGCTAGGATGTTGGCCGGCTTTGTAGCCCTAATATTATACAACTTTCCCCTGTGAGTTTCTGTTTTGTTACCCGATGGAGAGCACAAGGCAGGCGGTGGAGGAGAGCTCGCATAGCTACTGGGTGGAGCGGCGCCGGAAAAGTTGGTGCTCCGTTTCTGCAGAGGGCTAGCAGCGGTGTGCATGATAAAGGCCTCGTGGAGTTGGATTATTATTATTATTATTATTATTATTATTATTATTATTATTATTATTATTTATTGCCAGTCTTATAGGCCGGTAGCTCGGGTGTGCTTAGTTACAAGGCTGGGATTGAGGGAATCCGTGGGTCCCGTTACATGTGCCAAGCACCGCGAAGGGGAGCGCCTCTTTCCCCGGGAGGGTGGGTCCCGCTGGTTGATTGGAGCTACGCCGGCTTGATTAAATCCTGGCTGTGCATCGCAGTGCGCTCTTGCTGTGTTTGGACTTGGCTGCCTTTTCAACCCGGCTTTCCTGGAAGTCTCGATGTGAATTTAATCCTGGCTCTGACTGCACGCTGGAGGAGAATCTTGCGGCGATCAGGCAAGGGTTCTTCGGATCTGGTGCTTTCCAGCTATTTTGGACTGCAACACCCAGAATTCCCCGCCATTGACCGCACAGGCAGGGGCTGATGGGAACTGCAGTCCACTGCAACTGGAAGGCACCAGCTTTGGGAAGGCTGGTGTAGACTGAGCTGCAGACTTGGAGGCCCACCTCTGCCATAAATGGGCTGCTTTTGGAAGTGCCCCAGATGCAAAGACAATCCCGGGAGCCTTGCTAGTCTGGTGTCTGCGGTGCCCGCAGCTCCTTGATTCAGTCCTCTTCAGGCTGCAGCACCTGCTGGTTTGTGGAACTCACCGCCACAAGATTGCAATGGCTGAAAAGGCAGATGTGGTGAATCCGGAGGATACGGCCTGGAGCTCTGGAAGTAGCCTTGTACCCATGACTGTCTCGAATTCCATCCTGGCCTTAAGAGGCCCAGCACTAAAAGCTGATTACAGGCCTGAGCTGATGCTCTTCCAGGTTCCAGCAAGCGTACCTGGGCCTCCTGCCTTCCCAGATCTGCTCCCCATTTCCTCCCCAAGGGCCAGGTAGACCTTGTTGCCCCTAGGCAGGTCTCGCTCCTCTTGCCTACTTTCCCCCACCTCCACCTGCTAACACCTCCTTCCCATCCACAGAACTCGCTGTGTTTACCCTTTTGGAGTCACACCTGCCAGAGGTTTTCTAGGCTCACACCGCTGCCTGTCTACACGGCATTTCAACTGCTGCCTGTTGTTATTTTTATTTTGCAAAAATATTTTGCAAGAGCCAGTGTGGTGTCGTGGTGAAGAGCATGGGACTGAGACGCAGGCGATCTGGGTTCGAGTCCCCGCTCGGCCATGGAGCCCACTGGGTGACTTTGGGCCAGTCACAGACTCTCAGCCAACCTACCTCACAGGGTTGTTGTTGTGGGGATAAGACGGAGGAGGAGAATGATGTACGCTGCCTTGAGCCCTTTGTAGGAAGAAGGCAGGATATAACTCGAAAAATAAATTAAAAAAAAGTATGTCCTGCTGCATTTTATTTTAAAACCAGACCCGCTTTTTTGTAATGGACTGCCAGCTGGTGTGCCTGGCCGGATGGGCCGAGGCATGTGGACTGGGGGGCACCGCTTTCAAAATCCCAATTCAACGGGTGGGCCCCAAGTTGGACTAACACGGGGTGCAGCCCCTGTCCATCAGAAGAGTGCCACCGGTCGCGACTGTTCTGTTCCTGTTGGGGACAGTCGAGCGATTCTTGTGCAGCCTCTTGATGGGTCTGTCTTTTAAGCCAGGGATGGACCAGGGGGAGCTCCCTGGACATCGGAATAGGTGTGACAGGTACAGGATGGGGGACAGGTGGCTGGAGAGCAGCAACGTCGACTCCCAAAAGCTCCTGCTGGTGCTGCCAGGGATCAGGAATGATGGGAGCTGAGGTCCAAACTGCCTGGAGTGCCGTTTTCTGCCCACCCCCGCTGCAAGCCAGCCTCCCCCAGCCTCCCAGATGTGTCAGGGAACGATGGTGATTATCCCCCCCTAGCCCCCCCCCCCCCCCCCGGTAACAACCCTCCCCCAGCTAAAGCAATATTGGTTATTGTGTTCACACTTCATTTTCTCCTGCAGTGGCTGGCGTTCAGGCCTCCTTCGCCCTCCGCGTGCGTGTTCCTTATTTCTCCGCTGACAGATTTCTCGACTGCTTTTCATGACCTAAAGCCCCTGAGTTCTACCCTGCCTTGTTGGTTTGCTTTGAAATTCTGCAGCTGGGGAATTCGCAGTGTCCAGGAGGGCGCCTCGCTCCTTTTTTCTTTGCACAGTCAAATTCCGCTGACCGTTTTTGCAAAAGGGTGTGCATGACCCTGACCAGCCTTTCCCAGGTACTGCTGGGGGGCAGCAGCGGGGGCGGGGGGGGGGAGCGCAGCTTGTGCTTGCCGGACGGGGTGTTGGGAAAGGCAGCTTGACAACGGTCTCTTGCAACCTAGAAAAACACCTAAACAGACCCTTTTTGGCTCCTTTGCAGAAGAGAGAGCCCAAAATGGATCACAGATTCCCGGGAAGATCCCAGTGGTTTCCTCCGGGATCCCTGCAGGAGGACCCAGGGAGGAAGGGGGGATGTGGCTAAAATGCAAGCCAGGCGGGGCCCCTGGATGCAGAGGCGCATTTCTGCCGGGCTTTCACCTTCCATTCAGCAGCGTCCCGGCTCCCCACTTCTCTGAGCCTGGAGAGGTCAGATTTATTTGGTGCAGGGCTGGAGAACTGCTTTGGAAGTGCCAGGCACAGGATGGAGGGGGGCATCTTTATTTTTTACCTCCCCCCCAAAAAAACCCCCTTTGGGGTTGGTCTGTTGTTTTTGATGCAGGACATTGCAGAGAAGAAATGCCAGCCAGGCATGTAAATAAAGCTGGTGACCTGGAGGCTGGACAGGTGTCCATCCCGGGCCAAGGTTACACTGGGGCTGCTGAGCAGGCAGACGGGGGCCGATTGATTTCTTCCGGGTATTTTTATCCTGCTCCTCAGCCGAAAATGGCTCTTGAAGTGGCGAACAGATCGATCACTCCATGAGAAAGCCCCCGCCTGCAAGATTTCTGTCAAGAAGAGCTGGTCCGGCACAGCGTTCCGGGCTGGGTCTTGGGAGATCCGGGTTCCAGTGCCGACTCAGTCGTGAAGTTCACTCTAAATCTGACCAACCTCACAGGGCCGTTGTGAGGATGAAATTATGCAAGAAGATCATGCAAGTTGGCTCGAGTTCTTTGCAGGAGGAAAAAGGGTGGATTATAGGTACAATAAATGTGGGAACTGGTAATTTATGAGAGCAGAGTGGCGTGGTGGTGAGAATGTTGGACTGGCGGACTGGGAGATCTGGGTTCGAGTCCCCGCTCATGCACGCAGCTTGCTGGGGACCTTTGGGCCAGACGCAGACTCTCAGCCCAACCTACCTCACAGGGTTCTTGGTGTGAGGATAAGATGGAAAGGAGGAGAATTAGGAGCAAGAACTCATGTAATTGAATCACTTGAAAGGAAAAAAAGGCAAGACATAATGTGAATGAATGAATGAGTGGAATAATGCACATAGAAGGGGCACAACACACAAGGAATGTGGATGGGGAGGGAAGAGGAAACCGTCAGCCACTCCGTGGAATGTTCTGGCTTGTGCATGAGTGGGGAGCCCACTGTTCCTTGCTCTGGCTCCTCTTTTCCTTGCTCTTTCACGCAGTGCTGTCGATGCCTGGTAGAATACAGCTGATGAATGCAGCCATGCCCCCTGCCTTTGCCTCCCCGTCCACCACCTCAAGGTGTTGGTGATGACCTATAAAGCCCTAAACGGCTTGGGTCCTGGCTACCTGAAGGAGCGCTTACATCCATATATGCCCAGCCGCCCCCTGAGATCGGCGGGAGAGGCCCTTCTCCGGGAGCCCTCCGTGGAAGAAGTTAGGAGGGTGGTTACTCGGAGGAGGGCCTTCTCAGCGGTGGCGCCTAAGTTATGGAATGCGCTCCCCAGAGAGGTCCGCCTGGCGCCGTCGTTATTTGTTTTTCGGTGCCAGGCGAAGACCTTTTTATTTAAGCAGCATTTTAAATGTTAATATTATTGAATTTTATCGGGCCAGGGCGGCTTGTTTTATATTGTATATTTGTATTTTATTTTAATGTATATATTTTAAAATGTTATTTATGATGTTTTAATTTATTGTTGTAAGCCGCCCCGAGGCTTTGGCGAATGGGGCGGCATAAAAATGGTTTTAATAAATAAATAAATAGATAGATAGATAAATAAATAAAATAAACGCCCCGACTCCTGCTCTCTTCCAGGCGTGCCCAAGGCCCGATGGACTTCTGAGCACTTGCCGCTGACACGCCAGGAAGAGCATGGTGAAGCACCAACCTCTGCAGTACTACGAGCCGCAGTTGTGTTTGTCATGCCTGACGGGGATTTACGGGTGCCGCTGGAAACGATACCAGCGGTCACATGATGACACCACAAAGGTGAGTTCCGGAACCTTCCGTGCGGCCGGGCTCGCTGCCCCCGTTTGGAAACGGTGTGTGCCGGGTGGGTGGCCGGCCGGTGGAGTTGCCTCACTGCGACCAGCTCAGGTGCTGGTTTGGCACTGGAAATGCAGTCCCTTCACGCGAGTGCCTAAAAGTTGGCTGCTTTCTTTGTTCCTTGTGAACTGGACAGCGAAACGGAGCGACTCCTGCAACTTTTTCTGGTTACTGGCTCTGTTCACCTGTTGGTTTCTGTGGCTGCAGAAGTGAAAACAGTTTCATGAGATGATCATCTGCAGAGAAGGGCTAATGCCTGATATTCTATCCTATCCTATCCTATCCTATCCTATCCTATCCTATCCTATCCTATCCTTTGTGCATCACACACATGGGTTCTGCAAACATGTTTGAAACTCATTTGGGAATAGCAGGAAGGTTCTATTTTGACTTTCATGCCTTTAGTGTTTTCCGGGAAAACTGAACGAGCGTTTGGCCAGAGCTGTGTCAAATGCTGAAAGGCAGGGCTGAGAAAACTGCCACGGCCCCCATTTTTAAGGGACAAGCGGGAGAAAAAGCACTCCTCTTTGACCCCCAGCAAAATTTCATCCCACCCCACCTTTTCTTCTGGGTTGCTAGCCTGATTTGCTTGATTTCTTTGGGCGGCCCCATTTCCTGGCCACTCCGTGGGGGTCCGTGGGTCAGGACCCCCTCCCCAGGTCTCAGTCTCTGCCTCACCGAATGAGCTGCTTGGTCCAAAAGCTGAGATTTGGGCAGCGTTGCATTAAACCCAGCTTCAGTGGATCGGAGCAGAATCCACCTGGTTTCCAGCATCATCGGCAAGGTGAGCTTGGAAGGTGAGGTGTGCTTTCTTCCTGAAGGTTGCAGGTCAGAGGTAGCCCCCGTATGGGTTTTTTGCAGAGATCCCACCTGCCTTTATATCAGCGTGGAGCAGATGGCTGCCTGTGCGAAGGATCTGCTTGAAAGTGGAAATGTAATTCAGTGCAAAGCATTCAGGGGTCCCTAAAATGGTAACTTTGCAGGAGGAGAGGAGGAGGGTGGCGTGAGAAAAACACTTCCTTGGTGCCAGGCTTGCCTTACTTTTGAGGGCAGCGACGGCTGCGAAACGAGGGCGCTTTTGCTGCTGTAACACGACTCTGGGCCTTCTCCGCATCCCCGTTTGCAAGGGAGCTTGTCTTCTCTGCGGTGCATTGCTAAATCCAATTAATATTTCAAGGTATCGGCAAGGAAATGGCTTTGCTAGCGTTTCTTTTCCCCGTTTTTTGCAGCTGGAATTTGTTTTGGCGCTGTAAGATGGTTGATTGATGGCCTGTGTATCATAACATCAGATGCTTGGTTATTAGCCTACCGAGGCTGCATTTAAAACCCATTTCTTGAGCTGCTTCTCGCTTTGCAAGGCGAGGAGAAGCCGGCGCTGTGAGAGAGCTTGCTGAGGGTGGAGCCGTCTGTTTACAGAGCGGATCCCTGGAATCCTGAAGTTGCGCTTAAAAACAAAATGGTCCTAACTCTTGAAAGCCCTTGTGCCTGTATGTGATGCCCCCTTTATGTCCCCCCCCCCCCCCCCCGATTCCCTGTGTTGCTGCTGCCGTAGGGCAGCTTTTCCCAGCCTGTGGTAGGGAGGCTGCCCTATTGAAACCGAGGACTCAGCGTGTGCCACGTGGGTCCTTACGTTTCTCCTTAGCCGTGGTCTCTCTGCTGGTGAAAGTTAGACTGTAAGCTCTGTGGAGGCTGGGACCCTTCCCCGCTTCGTGCTGCTGCAACCTTACAAGGGCTACAGAAGCAGATGCAGGTCTCGTGTCCGTGAAAGCACGGCAGTGGCTGGATGAGGCCGCATGGGGTAAGGGTCTGTGCCGGCCCCTTTGCCCCTCCTCCTTGGGGTTGCTGTTCTGCGCAGGGGATCCCTCACCTGCCACAGGGGCAGACGCACACAGGGAGAGAGACCCTGTGCTCCTTTGCGGGCCTCTCTTGAGGTCTCCCGGACTTTACAAAGCATTGCTTGTCCCAGTCCGTTCCCCTTCCTTTCCCTGGGCGGGGGCCACTTGTGCTTATCCAGACCCTCCGCGGTGAGGAAGAACAGGTTTGTCCTGCAGGAGCACGCCCCTTCCCCCTCCCACGGGCTGCGTTTCCCCAGGCAAAAGCAGTTGTGGGCTGCATGCCCCCTGCCCCCCCCAGCCCAGAGCCAGAGCCAGAGGAGGCTGGCTCAGCCCACTCTCGCCCACACCCCGCCCTTCATTTCCTCCCTTGCTCACTTTTACCCCCTTCTTGCCCTCGTCTCTCTCGTACTCCGGCGCCAGACAGACTTTAATTCCGCATCTGGCGGCGCAGCTGAACTCCCCTAAATATGGGTTTGTGCACCTTGCATCCACATCTGGATCCTTCCGTCCCCAGCAGGCCGGGCTCCCAGTCCAGTTCAGGGCCCCCTGCGCCTCCTCGGAAGCAAAACGGAAGACAAAAAGGAGCAGCTGCTGCATTGAGGTCAAACGAGCCACTCACTCCGTCTCCACTCCTTGACTTCTGCAGCTCCCTCCCTCCCCCCCGTTGATCCCCCCCCATGCAGCAGGGGTGCTTGTGGGGAGTGGGATTCTCCCTGTGGAAAGCGGGGGGTGATTGCTCCTTGAGCTGCCGTGGACCGGATTGTGGGTGGCGCCGCAGTCACGAGTTCCCCACTGACGCCATGTGGTGTGGGGAGTGAGCGGCGAGGCCCCTTGCAGGTGAGTTGAGCTGCAGTGGGGCCACGTCCCAGCACCTCTGGGCCAGGAAGGCTGGTCTTGGATGCCCCCGGTGCAGAGCCAGACCCCAGGGTTCACTTCTGCGAGGGCTGGGGCAGCCCCCGCTCTGGATGGCTCTGAAGAGAGGAGATGGGCCCCATTGCTGGAGGAACAGGCTGGCCGTGCTTCTAGTCCTGAGGGCCGCTGGTGCCCCCCAGTCTCAGAGGCAGGATAAATGTTGCTGGGGAACATGTGTGCTGTGTCGCCCCCAAGTGGCTTGTGGGCTCCCCATTGGACGTCTGATGGCTGTTCTGGGAAGCTTGCCGGCCGTGTGATCCCTCCTTCCCCAGGGGGAGCCGTCCTGCACCCTCCAGCTGCTGGGGAGCTTGGGCAGGAGGAGGCCTTGCCCTCCTCCTGCTGGAGGGATCCTGTGGGAAGCTGTTCTCCCCCCCCCCCCCGTGCGTGGAGTGCTGGGCTGGACACACCCAGCCCCGATCCCGCCTGGCCGTGCTTCTGTGCTTGCTGCTGAATCTTGGACAAGGGAGCCCCCGGGCTTGGATCCCTTGTGCATTCTTACCCAGAGCCTCTTGACCGTGTGCCCCCTCCATGGTGTGCGGATCCCCCAAATTGGTGGCCGCGCACTGGTGGCCCCGTTCTGTGCCGGTCCTCTAAAGGCGCTCACAGGGCCAGTGTGGCGGGTGATGCCGGGACGCAGCTCTGTCCGTGCGCAGCCGCTCCACGTGCAGAGAGATGCGTGCGAATTTCCCCGGGGGCCAGTGGGAGCAAAGGGGTGCCTGGGCAGGGGGGGCTCTGGGGACTCTAGAGGAGCTGCTGCAGGACTCCCCCAGTGCCCACGGGAGAATCTGCCCCCGGGGGTCATTACCGCACCCCCAGAGGCGTGTGGCACCGTCCCTCTTCCTTCCGAGGAAAGCTTCTTGGCTCTCGGTTTGACCGTTTCTGCAAACTGCCGCTGGATGCCGTGCGCTGATGATGCTCGGCTCCCATTAGTGGGGGGGTGGGGAGAGGTCTGGCTGGCGGAGGGAACAATGTGAAGCTGTTGAGTGGTGTTAAAATAATGCGAATGCTCTGGCAAGGGCTTGCCGGCCGGCCTGCCCGCCCGCTGCATGTTTTTCAGTTCTGCTGGTCTGGCGCGCTCAGTGCTGGAGACACCAGGCCCCTGGCGCCGGCTTTTCTGCCCTGGCTCCAGGGGGAGGGCTTGGCCACGTGGCTGTGCCCCCCCTCGGGGCTGAGAGCCAGCGTGGCGCAGGGAGTAAGGTCCCAGGACTGGGGCTCGGGAGATCTGGGTTCGAGGCCCCACACAGCCGGGGTGACTTTGGGCCAGTTACTGGCTCTCAGCCTGTCCCACCCTGCGGGGTTGCTGTTGGGAGGCTAAGACTGGGGGGAGGGGGAGGGGGAGGAGGAGGAGGAGGAGGAAGCAGTGGCGGCAGCAGCAAGCTACCTTGAGTTCCTTGAAAAGAAAAAAGGTGAGATGTAAATATAGTAGAAAAATAAATAAATAAAATTATATAGATAGATAGATAGATAGATAGATAGATAGATAGATAGATAGAAGGCTGTTTCATTAGGGCTGTTGCTAAAGGCCAGTCTCTTATTCCGGCAGGTTCTCCAGGTTGTTCCTTGGCTTTTCCACCAACTCGGCCTCTTTCCGTTCCCTTCTGGATCGTGGCTGAGTTCACCCCGAGGCTCCAGGGAGGGGCAGCAGCTTCTTCCCTCTCAATTGACCTCCCTCTCTCTTGGGGACAGGCAGAGTGGGGCAGAATCAGGACCCCCCTCATCCTGTGCCCCGGCTTCAGCGAGCGGTGGCATGCCGGGCCCATCAGCCAGGAAGTTTCTGCCCCGAATGGGGATTCGAACTCAGCTCTCCGTGGTCCAGCCCAGCGTACTGGATGGCCAGCGTGCGCTCCGGCTAGCTTTGGCCCTTCCGTAACTTTTTCTTTTCTTGAATTCCCACCCTGGCCATTAGCTGATGCTCTCTGGGAGGTTTAAAAGATAACACTTAAAACCATAACATATATAACATAAGAAGAAGCCAGAAGTATAAAGCAGAATAGAACCAGCATATGAAGCAGGATAGAAGCCAAGAAAAGCGCAAAGAGCTAAAACTGAGATACTGGAAACCTCCCTCTGCCCCACCCCCCAAGCTCATGGCATCCGGCCCTTGAAAAAAGGTCTCTTTGTTACAGATGCCTATACAAACAATGCCTGCCATTCTGTCCCCAAAGCCGATCTCTTTCCCGCCTCTTTCTTGTCCTC